CAAAACAAATCCAAATAAGCACAAACAAATATAAATTAGGGTTTAGAGTATATTAGGGTTTAATATAAATTAAATTTTATAATAAATTAGGGTTTATAATAAATTAGGGTTTACGAGGGTTTAGGGTTTAGGGTTTACCAGCTCTATCAGCCTCTCCCGCAACCTCAATCCACCCTCCCCCATTTCATTATTAAAACAAATGAAAGTTTAAAACAAAAACCACAAATTAGGGTTTATAAAAAAATTAGGGTTTACGAGGGTTTAGGGTTTACGAGGGTTTAGGGTTTACGAGGGTTTAGGGTTTACGAGGGTTTAGGGTTTAGGGTTTACCAGCTCTATCTGGGTGCCCTGCGACCTCAATCCACGCTCCCCAATATTACAATTTAAGATCTACAATGAATGCGACTTTAAAACAAAAACCAAAAATTAGGGTTTACGAGGGTTTAGGGTTTACGAGGGTTTAGGGTTTACGAGGGTTTACCGGCTCTATCAGCGTGTCCCGCGACTTCAATCCATCCTTGTGCTGTTTTAACCATTTCACTATTAAAACAAATGCGACTTTAAAACAAAAACCAAAAACTAGGGTTTACAAAAAATTAGGGTTTACGAGGGTTTAGGGTTTACGAGGGTTTAGGGTTTACCAGCTCTATCGGCGTGCCCGGCGACCTCAATCCATCCTTGCGCGGTTTTAACCTCAGCATCCCAACAATCTTCAGCATAATGAGCTTTCTCTGTATCTAGGTGTTGACGAAACCTAATTAGGGTTTTATTAAACCCTAAAGAGAGAAGAAATAGATATGTTTTAGCGAGATAGTAGGCTAGGGTTTGGTTGTTTAGTATACCTTCATTGATAGCTTGTTCTAGGGTTTTATTATAATATAAACCCTCATTTTTTTTATTTATATTATTTATATTATAGTTTATTTGTTTTTGTTTTGTATATAAAGGAAGAGATAAATGTTTAATTAAATTAAACTTTATATAGTTTTTTTTATCTTTTTTAGGGTTATAAAAATGTTCGATCTCCCCCATAATAAACTCTCTACATCTATATAAACCACCGCGAGGGTTTATCTCGTTCCTAAACCCTAACCCTAACTGAGCCACAGCAAAAGGCATGCGGCCACCAACGTAATCATATAACCTCCTAAACCCTACAAATATACCCTGAGCTGTCTCGGGACGAAGATACCCTCGACCCTCCTGCTGCTGCTGCTGCTGCTGCTGCTCCTGCTGCTGCTGCTGCTGCTGCTGGGGGTGGTGCTTGTTCTGCTGTTTTTGGTTTTGGTTCGGTTTAGATGCTGCTGCTGCAGCAGCAGCTTCTTGCTGCTGTTTTTCTTGTAAACCACTGCTGCAACTGCTGCTGCTGTTGCTGCTGCTGCTGCTGCTGCTGCTGCTGCTGCTGCTGCTGCTGCTGCTGCTGCTGCTGTTGCTGCTGGTATTTGTTTCGTCTTTTGGGCCTAGTTTGAGTGTAAACATTAAATTAAAGGGAAAAGGAGAAGAGAGAGGATTGCCTTCGGGAGATAAAATATTATATTTATAAAAAATATCAGCGAGTTGTTGGGGTGTATATGCATCTATATTTTGTTGTATTTGTTTATATTCTTGTATTTGTTCTTTATTTATTTTATTTTTTGTCTCTTTTTCTCTCTCTTCTCTCTCTATTTTCTCTATCTTTTTATCCATATACTCATTTATATATTTATCGGCACGGAAACACTCCCCCGTTATTTCGTCCTTAACCATCAAATCTGTGAATCTATCTACATGCCCTGAATACAAACAAATAAATAAATAAATATATTTATTTATTTATTTATTTATTTATTTATTTATTTATTTGTTTATTTAGTTGGTTGGTTGGTTTATTTATTTATTTAGTGTAGTTAGTTGCTCGTCTATAACCATCAAATCTGTGAATCTATCTACATGCCCTGAATACAAACAAATAAATAAATAAATATATTTATTTATTTATTTATTTATTTATTTATTTATTTATTTGTTTATTTAGTTGGTTGGTTGGTTTATTTATTTATTTATTTTATTTAGTTGATTGTCTCTAACCATCAAATCTGTAAATCTATCTACATGCCCTGAACACAAATAAAATAAAATAAAATAAAATAAAATAAAATAAAATAAAATAAAATAAATAAATGTATTTATTTATTTATTTGTTTGTTTGCTTATTTTATTTTTGTTTGTTTATTTACTTTATTTTATTTATTTTTTTTTATTTATTTTATTTATTTATTTATTTTATTTGGAGGCAAGACGATGAGCTAAGCGAAACAAAAAAAAATAAAAAAACAGAAAAATAAAATAAACAAATAAACAAAACAAAATAAAATAAAATAAATAAAACAAAATAAATAAATAAATAAAATAAAATAAACAAAACAAACCTGAAGTCTAAAAAAACAAAAAAACGAAAAAAAAGAAAAACAAACAACCAAACAACCAAACAAAAAAACAAAAAAACAGAAAAACAAAATAAATAAACAAATAAACAAAATAAAATAAATAAACAAATAAAACAAATAAACAAATAAAACAAAATAAATAAATAAAACAAACCTGAAGTTTTAAGGACAACATGGGGGGTTAAGCAGGGCACCAAAAAAACACAAAAAAACGAAAAAACAAAAAAACAAAAACAGAAAAACAAAACAAACAAAAAAATAAAACAAAATAAAACAAATAAAACAAAATAAACAAATAAAATAAAACAAAATAAACAAAACAAACCTGAAGTTTTAAGGACAACATGGGGGGTTAAGCAGGGGCCCGATATCTCGAGCATATCTTCGGCAACAACAAAATGAGAGCGCCATAGATTCTCTACTTGTTGTTTTAATAAACACCCTAAACACAAACCCTAAACCCTAAACCCTAAACCCTAAACCCTAAAAAACCCTAATAAAAACCCAAATAAAAACCCTAATAAACCCTAATATATATGAATGT